TTACTTAGAGAGAACGGATGTGATTGCTGCATGCTTTGTTTGCAGCACCTTCACCAGCCAGGGGTTGAGTAGAAAGTAAACGGCGGTATTGTATGTATATATGTACATATGTAACGTGTAAATAATGTAAATATTAATTGACAACAGTTTAACTGATGTTCTGAAGGCATATACGTGTAGAAGGGAGGGGCTGAGGGGGGATCGTGGTGTACTTTGGGGGCTCCGTGGGGTCATGAGGGGGTGGGGGGTAGGGGCTCCGTGGGTCATTTTGGTCAAAAATGTCGCATTTCACCCAATCACCAAAAACTCATCGGATATCGACGAAGCTCGACGCCGCGGTCACGCCCAAAGTTGTTTCACTTTCCAAGTCGTTTTTTTTCGAAAGATACCGCGAAAAACAAGATTGTGAATATTTGCCCGAACGGACGATAGGGCTAGGGAAGAATTGCCCAGAGAATCCTATCAAAATGAGGATCAGAATGATGGTAGCGAAAACAAGGAGGATAATAGTGAAAGTACTCCTAAACGAACTCGAGTACAAGGTAGGATATATAGCCTTGGTAGACGCGTGCAGTTTTCTTCTGTTGCAACCGTTTCTGTCTTCGATCCGAAGGATAGTTTAGCCTCCCCCATGCTGCCCCCTCACGGGGTCCCAGTTCATGGCAGGTACTTGTAGAAGTGTTTGTGCTTTCAACCGCACTGAAACTGACGTCTTGTCATTGGTCAGCCGGTTAGCGCGGTCGATGCTAATAGTAAAAATACACGTCACAGAAAAAAAAATCCTGCACAGAACTATTCTGTAGGGTACGGGGATGAAACAGAACGCACAGAATAATCCTGTAGGGTACGGGGATGATACAGAACTCTCTGTGCCTCTCTGTAGGGTAATAACAGAGGGTAATTACCCCCGGTATAGGTCTGTGAGTACCCTACAGAACCCGCCCTTGAAATCCTGGATGATCCGTGAATAGAGAGAGATGGATTCACCGTGGTTCAAGCAACATAAAAAAGCACACCAAAGCCGGTGAACTCGTCCATTCACGTGACGCATGGATGAATACAAAACAACTACTGCGGATTGCGACCCTNGATATATAGCCTTGGTAGACGCGTGCAGTTTTCTTCTGTTGCAACCGTTTCTGTCTTCGATCCGAAGGATAGTTTAGCCTCCCCCATGCTGCCCCCTCACGGGGTCCCAGTTCATGGCAGGTACTTGTAGAAGTGTTTGTGCTTTCAACCGCACTGAAACTGACGTCTTGTCATTGGTCAGCCGGTTAGCGCGGTCGATGCTAATAGTAAAAATACACGTCACAGAAAAAAAAATCCTGCACAGAACTATTCTGTAGGGTACGGGGATGAAACAGAACGCACAGAATAATCCTGTAGGGTACGGGGATGATACAGAACTCTCTGTGCCTCTCTGTAGGGTAATAACAGAGGGTAATTACCCCCGGTATAGGTCTGTGAGTACCCTACAGAACCCGCCCTTGAAATCCTGGATGATCCGTGAATAGAGAGAGATGGATTCACCGTGGTTCAAGCAACATAAAAAAGCACACCAAAGCCGGTGAACTCGTCCATTCACGTGACGCATGGATGAATACAAAACAACTACTGCGGATTGCGACCCTTCTCCTTTCACGGTATGTATGGCTCACCTTGACACACGATAGACAAAAGCGGGCGGGAGAGCTCGCTGGAAAAGCAAATACCCACAATACGGGTATTTGCGAAGTCACCTCCCCTTGTAGTCGTGTCTAGACTAAACGTATTTCGGGACAACATGCAACGAACACGCTCGTGGTCTAGACTACGGAAACATGTCCCTTTCCTAGATCGATCCCCATCGCACGGTATAATAAGAACACGTGCACGATGACGCCCCGCCATCGTGACACGCACGCGTGGTTTTAACACAAGGTGGTCGTACCACCGTACCAATCACTGTCCTTTCGCCTGAAATGGGAGTATTCGAGCGGTCAAATCAATCCTAATGAGGAATAGATAGGCAATCACTTGAATTCCATCAGACTGCAATTACGATCATCATCGGCCCTGCCTTCCTTCACCGAGAAACCTCCGATCGAGAACCTCCGTTCTTGGGTAAACACACAAAATATCCGCAATACGGGTACAGTAGGAGATCCTGAAGAAGAAAATTATCATCTATCATGTTTGCAGCGTCGCGAATCACGTTATTACAAACAAAAAACTGCTACATGTTGATTACGCCAAGGCAGATGGTGGGGGAACCACATGCAGCAGTAGTAGCACATGCTAATTCGCTTCATGTCGCAAGCAAAAACAACAAAGCAGCCGTCATTCCGAAGTAATATCTGGTCGTTATCCTAAAAAAACACTAGACGAGAGTTAAGTTGTGGTAGATAGTAGACAATCTCCGCAGTACACATCAAGAGCAACGAACGAGATCTCTCATAATATACAAAGCTACCCAAGAAGAAGCTCAACGACAGAGCATCCCACCCGGGTCTACGACATCGGGGACTCCTACAAGAGGGGAAACGGGTCAAAAAATACTCTCAAGGAAGTAGTCGCGAGGGACTAGTGTTTCCGTCGATGGCACAACAAAACGCTGCGGAGATGTCGCCGTCACACCACCCTGCACCCAAGACGGGACAGGGAGCTTGAGATCGATCGAGGTAGGCCCAATCAAGAGCATCGGAGCATCGGCGACGAGCACTAGACACACGCAGAAAGCGTCTCTAACAGAAAGAAAACTCACACTAAAACGGAACATCAGCTCCTAAAATACGGTGACGGGGGGCGCGCGCTAGCAAAGACGTGCCTGTAACAAAGTGACACCGTGGATTGGCTGGGTTGAGTTAAACCCGAACGTATGCTCTTCAGCAAGCTTGATGCACAGCAGTCAACCGGTTCATCCACGACACCCGAGCGCTAGGTCTTGAGAACAGAAGCGAATACAGACTACAGGGTACGTGAAAACAGTATGTCAAGGACGATACTCTCAGGATCGGAAATCCAAAGTTGAAAAAGAGAGAATCACAAGAACAACCCTACAGGGAACTCCTGTGTAGGACAGGCAGGTGTGGATAGTATTGTTATCCATATGCACGTACACACGACTGTAGGAAGTCAACAACCCCTCGGCAACGTTCCGACGAACGGTTGCACCAGCGGCTTGGCTCTGACGCTGATGGGCTGCTCAAATCACTCAACTCTCTCCTTGCCAACCTACCTCATAAGGGGGGTAAATAATGTGCCCTCCGGATGGGCAAAGCTACGACCTTCGCACCACGCTGTTTTATCAACGAAATAGAATATCGGTCCTGAACGCGCCTACTAAATGCACAACAACGAGTTCTTGGCAGACAACCCACACGGAAAATACAAGACAACACGATCTACGTAACTTTCCAGCCGAACTACTCCTTCCAGAACGAAAAAAGAAATATGTACGTGAGACCCCAACTTCTCTTCCAGTCATCATTGCTCTTTTCCTACGGACAAAGCAACGTGTGAGCCACAGAAAAGGAAAAGTACTGAAAACTTGGGCACAGCCAACAGCGACACACACACATCCATCCGTCCCTATCCGCCGCGTCTTTTCGGTACTCTTTTCTGATGACACACAGTCATCCAACTCCACCAAGATAACAAGGTCGCCAGAGAGAGAGTGAGAAAGAGAAAGACATCTTCTCATGCGCATCAACCAAGGCCAACGTGCCGTCGCTCTTTGCACCATTGAAACCCAACCCCCCGGATAATTGATAGAAGTACAGAGTATCACGTACAAAAATTAGACGCACTTTCTCAAGGAAAGCCCTGCGCCAACAACAAAGCCATCATCATCGGTGACCGCTTTGATCGATCCAAACCAACAACCAGCGAACTGGACCCCCCACCCTCCATACAGGTCATTCCTCTACAGGCTTTGATGGAAGTCTCCATTCCACGGCTTGTGAGATAAATTCCCACTAACTTGACATGTCCCACCATGCATTCGTGGCTCCGTTGTAAGAGGGTGGTGTGACAACGGCTCGACACCCTCATATATCGTTAAGAGAGTCAGTGCTCAATTATACTATAAAGGGTCGAAGTCGTGACAACCGATTCGGATTATCTTATATCGGAGCCCCCTCGAATAAGGTACCCTCTTATCTCGGAGCCACGCCTCTACCGAGAGGACGCTACCAGCCGGTCGCTGGCACTACCGTTTCACACATCGTCGCCTGCGTGCCGCCGCTTGTTGCTCCTAGCGATGCCACGAGCGTGTTCAACAATATCAACCAGGACAGAGACATGAGCGACAGGCCCGCCAGGACCCGTGCGCCGTTGTCCGGCTGAGTGGTATCGGTCTGGAACACCACCATCTGATCCAGCCCGTACTCTGCCATCGTCGTGTAGTTGCTGGCCGGGTTTGACGACTGCTTCGCGATAACAACAACCGTCACATAGTACTCGTTGCCCTGTGCAGTTCCCGCACAAAAATGGGCCGTCCCAGCAAGAGGTCGACAAAACAACATGGGCGTCCGTCAAAATCAAAAACCGATAGGATAAGAAGAGGTAATCGCCGAATCGTCTTTGGAGGGGCGGGGGGTACAAGTTGCCGGTCACGCTTCGAACACATTGTAGCTTACAAAAGCCCTATAATTTTGAACGCTTCATGAAAGCCGTTCTAATGCCAGAGAATGCTGTAGGAAACAAACGCGTCCGAAAATGTTGTACTCGCACCCCCTGAGTTGTGGCAGCGACCGAGTACTGAGCAACGTCGGCGGGGGCGAACATAAGCGAGGGCTCCCCCGACACCCATCGTGAGACCCCTGCAAACACAGGGCAATGTTGTACACGCACCCCCCGGAACGGAGTTATGGCGGTGACCGAGTACTGAGCAACGCCGGCGAGGGCACGCACACTCATCGTGAGACCCCACGGAGGGCAGAAAAGGTCGCCTTGCGTGCCTCTGTGACCGACGCCTGCCAGCCCCAGCCGCAGGCAAAAAGCACCGGACATCTCATTCACAAGACGGGCATACTCGCCTTGGGGGCGTTCAAGACCGGGCCCTGCTGGTGGCTTGGATCATAGTTGCAGACGATGATGGTACCCCCTTGCTGCCCTATCCGATGGACCCCTATCAAATGCCAACAACAACACGCGTATGTTCTCTTCTACCTTCTACATGGGGGCTTGCTGGCTCGGCCTGCCCACTCACACCCTAGGGGATCAGCGGAGGGTGTATGGCTCTGCGGTCCATAGCGCTTCTCACCTCAGGGAGATCGAAGCTAAGTGGGATGTAAGGATCAAAGGGCTCGTTCTCGTAGTACAGCTCGCCTCCGTCCTGGACCTGGCAGAGGCTCAAGCTGTCCTGGCCCTCGATGTAGTCGTTAACGTACCCGTTCACCGTGCACCCGAAGCCATCGCAGTAGTTGTTGTCGTTATTGAAGTAAACGTTCACCGTAGTGCTGCGGATCAACACCGGACGTACATGAGCGACACGGAAGCCACAGCCGCAGCAGCCGCAGTAGCAGCAGCAGGACGCGTCGCGTTATAAACGACGAAACTTCGTGCGACGAGGCATGAAAGAAAACAGCGGCGACATCTTAGGGGGAAAACTTCAGTCCTGCTTGCGGAGGGGCGGGCCCGAAGACGAGCAGGAAACCGTCGTTGCGTGCGTGCCGGAACCAAAAAGCAGGAGGCGATTTCGCCTCTCCACTCCTACCTACCAACCGATGCCTGGCGACAACCACGACTACAAAACCACAAAAGCTGCACGTCACCAGTTTTGTCACGGCAACGGGAGCGGAAACCTACGATATGGACGTCAATCACGGCATACTCGTCCCATCGAAGCACAGCACACAATCAACGACCCTTCCCTAAGCAACGCCTGACGTCCGATGATCCGTGAGGGAGGGGAGAGACTCAGCCAAACCGTCGCGGGGAATCCAGCACACTACAGTAAGTGCATCACACAAGCAACGACCCAGAGAGGGAAGAGGGAAGCAGGACGAGATTGTCAACAAGCCTTACTTGATCAAATGCCCCTCCTTGATGAAATTGTCCTCGATCCAAATGGATTGGGTTGCCACCCCAGATGGGACGGGGACTTCCTCCGAGAACATCACCACATCCACCGTCGCGTTTCCGGCCCCTGCATGGAATTTTCACGCAAAGCACACGCACGCCCGCCCCGAAACTTGACGTTTATTACCTTCTCCATGACACTAAATCAGCGCTCTGACACACACAGCATTTCTGCCGGATAGGAGCGCTCCAATCGGTGGTCACACAGACAGGTTCATCGCCCTGACGCCCTCTACCCACCCCGGCCTCGGGTGCTTGCCTCCGATCATTACAGCGAGAATTGCGCAGCACTCTCTTCTCCGTTGTTCGGGTAAAAATGCATGCCATGATACTGACGGATAATAACCGCGGTGGCGGTCAATCTTCGCGTGGGCGTTTCACACAAGCGACGAACCAAACCATACGTAGTACCGAGGTTGATCAGCGAAGCCTTTGGGGTCCAGGTCATATGAGTATAGAACGGGAATCGTGTCTACGGCCGAAATGCGTTGGACAGAAGCCCTTGCTTTACATCTCCAACGGAACATGACAAAGGGTGCGCGACTACACAACGTTTTGTCACTAGCCGGCTTGTGCTCTTCACGTGTCCCGTCCCAAGATCGAAACCTTTTTGGCTCCACAACGGCGTAAGCAGAAAAAAACAAGAAATAACCGTGCTGGTACTTGCAGAAAAGCAGTCGTCTTCCCTACGGCACGCTAGGTCATTGGGGTTCAACCTTGCCGCAAAGACGAACAAAATTCAACAGGGTATAACGCCAACTCGTGGCGTGGCGACACATGCGAGGCACAAGCAACACAGAAACCGATTGCGGTTCCCCCCGAAAGCACCCGTTGTGCGGATGCGTCCATGTGTACCTTAGCTTGTAAACCTCCCTTTCAAAAACGGGACAAGAGGAGGCGGGGATTGCGCCCGCATCCAAATGTTGATTAGTGCAGCACATACCTTGGTTTTCACACCTCACGTACTAAACCGGGACGGATATTGCGCCCATATGCAAATGGTGCGAAGATGAAACATCCACAACACATTCCTTGATTGTCAAGCCTCACATACTACTATGAGCCAGCGATTTCGCCTGCCGCAAGCAAACGTTGGTAAGATGCAACATCCACATCTATATCTTGGTCTTCATACCTCTCAATAAAACAGGGCAGCTAAGAGAGCGATTGTGCCCGCATTCAAACGGTGCCGAGATGCGGCATCCATGAAAACACAGTACCTTGGTTTTCAAAACGCACTCGGCCCGCCTCGAGAGGTTCTGTGTCCTCATAAACAATGCCATTCGTCCCGTACGTTTCCTCCGGGTTGTACTGCCAGAAGGTGCAGCCGTACTCTCCTAGGTCGGAAAGATCATTCTGGGCCTTAGGGAAGGAAAAGGTACGTCACGGCAACGACAACAAAGAACGCAACGAAATAATCAACAGAGGCCACAGAGGTGAGATTTATTTCTATCCATCCCGCATGACCGAAGACGGAGAACGGAGTTTTTTTTGCTGGTCTCCGCCAGGGTGTAGAGGTAGCATCTTGCGAAGCGTGAGGAGTCTCGTACCACGTGCGACAGGCACACTGCTGGTCGAACGGCGAGCGCTTAGTGTAGTGGCGATCGCTGCTGTCTTGATCAAGGGTTTGGTGCTATCAACCCTTGCGGAAAATGCTGGTCTGCATCCAGCGGGATGATGCAAAGGCTGCCGCATGCCATAGAGACCCTACCATTAGTCGCATCAATGAGAAGCATCCTGGACTGCCGGGTGTATCCATGCTACCCGGCAGTAGCGATAGAGAATTGGGGCAACAACGCCGTCAACGCCAGTATTCAAAATCAAGTCATCATGACATGGAATCAAATCCCGACTTCAACCATCGTTGTTCCAGCATCTTTCCTCATAAAGTCGCCACAGATGGTTGGAGACTGCGTTATCGTTGTGTTGACAAAAGAAACGCTTCAGCCTCGTCGACTCTTCTTCAAATTGTACCAAAAAAAAAAATGAATGATGCGTTTCCGGAATTGAATTCTTCGACATGACCCAACCTCAACTGTGAGGAGTGATAGCGCTGCTTCAGGTGTGACTACGGACAATCTCGAGCGAGGGGTTGACTGCCAACGACTTCGTTGTACGAATGGTTTATCATTACCGAGCGCCAACATTATTCCACCAAGCGACCATTCCTCTCGCATCTTTCGGATGTTGACCTGATGCTATTGTTACGTTTTCGGAATCTCGCACACGCGGTGGTAGGCACCCTGTACTATGTTATGTAGGTTGCCAGAGCAACAGTGAGTGGAAACGCCGCCTCGCGAACCTTCTTCGCAGCGTGAACGACAAACGACAAACGTGTCTGCAACCTCGATCCATCCATCTCCCTGTCGAAGAATTGAGGCTCCAACAAGCGATATTTGGGCCGACGGGAAACATATTTTATTCGTCCCGTCGATTAGAGGAAACTCGACCAATCGGTCAGCAGACGGCCAGCACAGTATTCTAGCTCTCAATGATCTTGTCAGATTGTTGCTCGTTCCTTCCCTCGCCGGGGGCGCTCATCTCAGTTGTGTGGCTCAAGTACATTAACACACCCGTCCATACCTCGTGGCCGGGATATTTATATTAGTCCGCACTGGAACGCCGCACTCTGCTGTACATTTGCATCCGCTTTTGAACGTCACATACGCGTGCGCATACTGCTTGCTGGTGCAACGGGCCTATTACTCGGGATTACACGATGAACGACGAGTAGACACTGGTCGCACTTCTGTAGGTGAGGCCCGGGCATTACCCTAAAATGAAGACGTCCATGAACCCGCTGGTCTCCCTGCGATACTGTTTTCGAGTGAGTGTCTGCGTTGAGCCGCATACCCCACAGCTTTCTCAGGCTACACTTGCATGTGTAAAGCGGGAAAGCTGTCAGACCGGTTGTAGACACATCACCCGCGAGGTGGATTTTGTTTTGTTTTTTGGTCCATTTCGTTTGACGTTTCTTTGGTGCACCCCTTTGGCCTGTGACCACGAACGGTGTCCGCGTCAGTGCACCCGTGACTATGACTAGAAGGTACTGAAATGATATAATACCGGAAAGGCTTCCGTAGCGGGAAGACAACAAGGTGGAGACAAGAGTCACATGAGAGAGACAGAAAGACACTTACGTAAATACAGCCCCCGATGGAGGGCAAGTAGTTGAGCTTCTCCGAGTATTGCATCTGGAGAGGCTGCGGGTCATCCAGAGAACATTGTCGGTACGACACCGCGAAGTGGTTCGACAGATCTCCAACGAAATCGATACTCGCCCTCAGGCCGGGCTGAATAACGATCTGCACGGCCGAGCAGCACACACAGCAAAACGACAGCCGGGTTTGGGTTGTTAGTGATAGGGTTGGCGGTGAAAGCAGATAGAATATTTCGGTATTTGCTCGGCATCTTCGGGGGTACCAGAAAGGGCACCTACCGCTTACCGCTGTTCTGGCAGGGGAAGCGGCGGAGTCTGGCGTAGAAACACAAGCAGAGTATCGTTAGTTTATTCCTCAACTGCTGCTGCTGTATCGCCGTGTCGCGAAGAGTCGCTAGCGATTTAGGTCGAAGCCTCTCGAGGCCCAGACCTGACGCGTCAACTTTGGTGCTGACAGAGATGCCACAGGCCCAACAGCACCACCCCGCCCCCGATGAGTCGAAATATCATTCGTTCGTCTCAGGAGAACAGCAGGACACGCATGAACGCCACGTGTGCTACCAGCGTAGATCGTATGTTCGCTTGAGTGTGGTGGTCGTCATCGACGGCAATTGGTGGTGAAACACCCATCGCGGGATACGACGATTGTCACACTCACGAAATAGCCCTACCTTCAGCTAACCTAGCAGTATCCACGGTACACTCTGCCCATACATCAATCGGTGGTATTTGGGTTATGGGGTCAGGGTTGTGTAGCAAACGGGATGAAACACAGGAAGGACGCGGTCGAGGTTGGCCGACTGCCGACCAGTTGCTCGAGTCTATCTGTGCGAGGGTATCAGCGACTGCCACACGGTCTTTCGACATTGTTGTTTAGAGTCAGCGGCAAACGGTCGGAGAAGAAGTGCGTGTGTGTGTGGAATCCATGAAACTTGAAAATCCTGCACAAGTCAAGCATACGATGGTGGGCGCGCGCGCGCGCGCTCCATCTCTCAAGGAGCGCCAGCCGCACAGGCGGGGGGACTCCGTGGACAAGAGCGTCCTACGGCTTCATCGTCACGAAGAGCAGCAGGCGGCATCGCCAATGAGCCTAACGAGTTCAGTTCAACACCGGTCGGTGGTCGTACGCGGAGTGATTGATGATGCAGCCTTCGATTTTCGAGGCACCGGTTCGGTTCTTCGTTGTCCCGCCTCAAACATGAGGTACTGCCATTAGATTAAGGTACGTTTTCGTTTTTCGCGGACAAACGGTGAGTTGTGTTGTGCTGGTTTCTTTTTCTCTCCTTGCGCTGGCCCATGTAGGGTGCATGTGTTCATTTCGGTTTTGCGTGCAACAAGATTATGTATACCGCCCAATGTGTCAGCGAGGGCGACATCATTGTAGGTCGCCACCTCTCTCTGGCATCTCGCTGTACCGAAATACAACATCATAAGATACCCCCTTTTTTCTCGACAAGTTGGCAATGGGTCGAGAGGGTGGAATCATGTGCTAAAACTAGAACGCCCTCGGCAAAGCCTCTTGGTTTGTGTCAGGCCTTCAAGGGATTGAGTCGACAGCGTAAAAGGTTTCGCCAAACGCTCTCAGGCTGTGGTTCGTGTCAGGCCTTACATTGGCTTATGGCGGATGCTCCTTTGCGGGACTTCTCGCTTACTGCTGTGGTCTTCGTACGCCTTTTCGGCCATGCCGATTTTCGACTGCTAGCCTTCCAATCGTTAGGTTTTCCTGCAATTTGTATGTGAGGTTGCGTGTTGTACTCTTTCCTGCACATGGGCTTTGGTTTTCAAGACAAAAGAGGCGTTTTATTTTTCTCAAGTTTCCTCCCGAGTGCGCGCGTGCCCGCTTATCGCTGCAAGTGCTGCTGCTGCTCTCCAGGGTGGCGCTGCCGCATGAATTCGAGCAATCGTTCAACTCGACCTTCCAGAGTACGTTACAGCTTTATGTTCGGGCGTACCACCGCGCCCTGCATATTTTTCGCCAGAGCTACACTCCGAGAGAACTTGTGCCCGTGAACAAAGAAGAACGCACGTGTAGTTAGTTTTATGCTCCTCAGACTTTCTTCGGCATGCTGCCGACAGAACCCCGTTGACCATTGCGCTCGTTGCCAGCCCATCAGCAAGTCTTGACGCAAAACGCATGCTAGCATCCAGGATACTGCTGAACATACGATCACAGCCGCCGAAAAAATTGTGCGGGGTCACACCCTCGAATCCCTCCCCCGCACCCCAAGCCTCACTTGTGATCGCACCTCGATTTCCCTTGAAAAATGAACGCATTCCAACATTCCAACACTGCGAAGAACTGCTTCTACTTTCATTTGCAGATCGCGTGTTTTTTTTGCCTGTGTCCACCTTTCTAGCTGCTTTCACAATACAGTAGCCTTTTCTGGGTACAATCGTGTGGCCATGGGAAGGGTCGGAGTCATCGGACAGGTAGTGTACCAAGTCAGGAAAGCACTGATAGTGTCGATAGAGCAGAAACCGGAACGGTTGTTAATGTCGATTCAACCAACGACAACAAGTCACCCCTTGTGACGACATTGCTGTTCTGTAATCTAATGTGGCCGCCCACATGCTGTAGCAGGGATACTTGTATTTACGAACGGAGTACAGTTGGTACACTGCCTTACGCTTGTAATCGTTTTATTAGTGCCATCTGCAAACCTCGGCAATAATCCATTTCGAAAAACGGACGTGCCGAATTCTTGGTATGCATACGTAGAACAAGAGACACACCCGCGGGAGTTTAAGTCCGCCCCGCCACATAAGCAGCCCTGTCCTGTCCGGCTGGCAGAGACAGTGTGCACTCACAGCGGTACGCAAGTAGTTTCACTATATCCAGCACGCACAACCGCCATTCTAGTTACAGCTAATAGTTTGCATACACCGCCCGTTCACGGCAGTTTTTTTTTCCCAAGCTGACAGCCCGCCGCTGTGTTCTGTAAAATCATGTGTTACAATTGATGCTATGTATCCCCGCGCAAGGAAAAAGAGCCGAAAACTAACGACCTTTCGGGCAGCGAAAATCCGTCCCATCTCTGAAGTTTCCGTTGGGAGTTGGGAGGACGGAGTGTTCTCAGTGTTTCGTGTTTTGTGGTACCCAGTGTGGCGTCATCTGCTATTTACATGTGCAACAATAGGCAGTGTGGCAAGCTGTCGTGTCCTCTCTCGCAACTACAAGCCGTGCATTTAGCAGAGGTTTTACCGCTCCACCGTCATGTGCCGTGAAAATCACGGAGGAGGTTCTCTCTCGCGCGCGCCTCGCAATACTTTTGGGCTGGATCAGCGAGAGAGCCTTCGCGGGTCTCGATCGGCAGCAGCAGCAACAGCAGGATTACAACGTATACAGAAGGGGTTTTCACCTCCACATGGTCCGCACCTTGCTGGACCTGGTCCGCTCGCCGCTTCCGAATATCGTTCATCAATTTTTTCATCAGCAATATACACGCGCAAGGACGTTCGGCGCTCTTACGTAACAGATGCACACATTCTGAAGCACCTTGCCCCCCCCCCCCCCCCCCCCCCCCCCCCCCCCCCCCCCCCCCCCCCCCCCCCCCCCCCCCC